AACCCCGTGGCAGTATGCGTTTTTTACTGCTGTTACACAGCACAAAACGCATAAAAAGAGGATAATGTCTGAATTACTGCTAATGAGTCATTATTGGAATGCAAACGCACAATCCTTTAATACAGTTGTGCTTTGGGCTGCTTCCTGTCGGTTCAGATCTGTTTTGGCGATTTTTAAATTATGATAATTTATTATAACTAGTCCAATAGTCAAAATATGACAAATAATCTAATGAATTATAGCAATAAATAGTAACGATTAATAGCAAATATGTTTACGATTATGTTTACGAACTAGCTCGTCAAAAATTTACTGAGCTTGTTTTGTTTTGATCTTATCCGCTGGGCTGATAAGTGTCGGCTAACCATATTTTGTGAAAACAGTAGAAACTATTATTTAAACGTGTGTTCTGATAAAAACAGAGAGGCTTATCACTCACCAAGGTTTATCACTTTTAGAAGCGCAACACAATATTGTTGAATTTATTAGCATTGTGACGGTCAAAGAGTATCGAAAACATGCCAAAAAACATGGAAATTATAGTAGAAATGAAAATTCACACAAATTCATTGAAATTATGAGTCGTCACTTAAAATGAGGCAGCTTTTCTTGTTCTTATGAAATTAGAAGTAGGATAGAACTGGAAATTTTAAAAGTGCAAGCTTGAAAACAAATTAGTAATTTTTATTACAAAGCCTACTTTTTTCCAAAAAATGCGTTCGCTTCAGTGTAGCCCTATGATTTTCAGCTATTTATTAATTTTACTTCACAGTAAAAGAAATTTTTATCATCCAAGTTATTTCAGGTGTGTCTCTGCAGCCACATCATGTGCAGCAACATCCTCACCATCGTTCTCACCATCATCATCATCACCATCACCACCACCATCACCATCATCACAGCAATCGGTTATCGTCAGGGGCAACGCGGCGAACACATTCGTCAACCAAAAAACCGTCCAAGCATAAGAGCACACGTAAAAAGCATAAACGGTCTCAGCTTCTCTGATTCAACTAAACTATAGATTTCTTATGCTTTTTTATCGCTCAGCGCTATAATGTTGTTACAGTGAGCAAAAACGCATATTGTCGAGAGATCGTCCGTATGTGTAGATCCCTTCAGTACTACAATGCCAAAGGTAAGAAACCTACGGATGCGAAACATGGCCACCGACAGAAAGAGAAAAGCAAGTGCCGGCTTTTACGGAGTGAGGGATAAAACGAAGAATGCTTAATGTGTTCTTCGCAACCACATAAGCAATCAGACTTTTCATCAGATGAGTGACCTGAAGGTCAAAATCCGATGAGCAGGGTTTCTTACTCGCTTTACCAAAAGCTGCCAAACATTGGGTATTAGTAAGTGGTGGGATTTACGGGTAGTATCTGTGGGGAGCACTAAAATCAGTTAAGTGCTAATAAAATATAAAATTAAAAATAAAAAGATCAAATAAGAAAAAATAATTTTTTGGTAATGCTGAAGTAATCCTGCAAATCTTTGTTTTCAAAGCGACTTGATAGGGCTTAACTCGGCATGATTCTAGAACGAAATCATTATTCAATCCAAAAAATCATGATTCTGTGCTACTAATAAAAAATCTACATTTCCACTTAGCTTCTATTGCTAGCTATGAAATACTCTACATAGCCGCCGCGCTCTGCTATATAAGTTAATTCAGGCCTGGAAAACATCATCATCATTCGCGGACAACTGGGAAACCACATGCAAGTACCATCACCAAGACAATCCATGCACACACGACAGCACCAACCACAACAAAGAAACTGTCAGCACTCGCCCGGTGCAAACAGATCCAAGCTGACCCATCACTTGCTGCCGAGATTTTGCTCCGTGAACGACTCATTTTCCCAGTTGAAGGTATCATTTTCTTTTTGTCTTTGAAAAAGTCTTCTTCGTTTGTTTTTTTTTTTCTTTTTTTTTTTCGTCTTTTTTGTTCTTTTTTTATGAAAAATCATCAAGATCTCTTCCTCTGTTAATAGTTTTGGCCTGAGCTGAAAACAGTAAAGGCCAGAGCCAATTTCGTTTTCTTAATGGATATGACTTTAGGACTGAGGCTCACAGCTACAGGTACTCCGGTTGGGTTAGTTTAACAGGATTGAATAAGATGCACATCCATATCCGTGTGCCAACGCTTTTAGTTACAAACTTTTAATTAGTGCAAGAATTTGTCAAGTTTCCAGATACATCGGGTCGGCATCCTTTGACTCAGGAAGAAGTAGTTCAGTCCAATATTGCCTTTGCATGCGTTCCACGTCTCGATGAAGCTGAATGTGAACGATCACTGTGCTATAATTTGTACTATCGAACCATGGATGGTACTTGTAACAATTTAGCTCGGCCTTTGCGAGGAGCTGCTTTTCGTCCTTATAACAGGTACCATGCTTGTTCTTACAGTACAGTTTGCCAAAATATTCAGGTGCGGAGAATTGCAGTTTCTTTTGCAAATACGGTTTTCAGCATATGGAAGTTATACTTAGCTCTTTCACTTGCTCCGCTGTACTTTGTAAAACTCTATAAATGGGTATTGCAGATTGTTACCACCGGATTACGATAATGGCTTGTCGGAGCCTGTTGGTTTGTTTTGTTTTTTTTTGTCTTTTTTTTTTTTGCATTTTATTAAAATGCACTTAAATTTGCCAAGTCTTTTAACAATCCTCTCAAATTTTTAATATGGAATCTGCAACGCTACAAGAGAGCAACTCGTTATTAAGCAGGTTGTTTGCTTTCAGCTTATGCATGACATTCTTACCGTATAGGCACACTTACCTTTTCGGAAGTGCGCGAAAGTTGTATTGTCCGTTAACTGATGCTAATTGAGGATTTGCATTCGGCAAATTGTTAGATCGAGATCTCTTGCTTAGACATTCGTATAACTGTAATTAAGCTTAAGCTTGGCGGTGCATCCGTAGAATTGTTAGATAATTAGCTGTCTGCGCTTCTTATGGTTTCAAGACTCATCTTTTTTACATCATTTCTGAAACCTAGCTTTTCAACTGCTCACACATCCGAGCACTTTCCTTTTCTTGCCTTCTCCTTTCAACACACGTTCGGTACTTTCGTTAGCTATAACTTTTCAGATCCTTAACCGTTTTCAACCTATTTGCAACAGAAAAATAAATATAACTCTTGCGATCAGTATTCCTACGGCGCTGGCGAAGAAAACGCGTGATGTCTGATATGTTATCGTAGCGAGCTTATTCACTTCTGTACAAACGTAGTTATGTCAATCTCTGCTAATCTCCACTGTCTACTTACGGCTTCTCCGGTTACTTCACCAGTCTCAAATGAGGCTGGTGAAGTAACCGGCGAAGCCGTAAGTGGACAGTGAAACATCCAAACAGTAGTCTTGGTAGCATCCTAAGGGAACTTTTTTCAGGTTCCGTGCGGCCCCGTCCGAACGCTCGTGAGGTAAGCCGCACACTGCTCTCATCGCGAAAAACGGTGCTACATCCGGAATACAACGCGCTGCTGATGCAGTGGGGACAGTATTTGATCCATGAAATGGCCAAGACAACCCTCGTTCCGTCAGCCAAGTGTAACGTATGCCAAAACATTCAGGGTCGTTGTATGGCAGTACCCATACAACCAAGGGATTCAAACAGGAAGTTCGTTGATCAGTCGGATAGATTTTTTTTTTTAAACATAAAAATCTTGTGAATCTTCTACTTTTTCTTTTTTAGCCACACATATTCTGTTTGTTTCTTTTCACAATTCAGTATTTTTAAAACCCCGTTTCTTTTGTATCGCCGTAAGCCGAGTAGGTCATAAGCGTTCTGATTCAGGAAATACAATATTAGTAATTTACATTGCCTCAGTAGGGAAAAGAAAGATGCGGATTTTCTTTTTTCTGCTAAAAATTTTCTTTTATTTGCAAAATTTAGTTGAATTTAAGATTTTTTGTGAGTTATAAAGATGTTTCGAATTTCGATATTTGTTTCAGTTTCAAGTCAAATAGATGTATTCGAGTTTCGCGGTCAAGCGCCATTTGCGGTTCTGGC